TTTGTTTAAGGACAGATAAACAATTATGGGCCGTAAAGTCGGTTTTCACTTTTCATTGAACACTCGTAAGATTACAACATGCAGGAGTGTTTAATTTGAATATTAACTTATGTCTCTTCAATCTTCGAAATAAAATGGAAAGATTAAAACTCGTAAAATATATTAATTATCTGTATTACAGTATCCTATAAACCTTATTACAAATTCAATTCGCTTTTTACATCAATAATTTTTCAGTTAGACATACTATTTTTGAGGCTGTTTTCTACTTTTTAAAAGAATGTATAAATATTCTGACATGCTACCAGCTTTTGTATCAAATACACAGGTCCCGAAGTCTTAAAGTACCCAATTTATGGCAGAAAAATGACTCATTTCATAAGTTTCTTTTCCTCGCATTGACAGAATGTGGCAGTCATATTGAATTTTTATCACACTATTGAATAACCATACCCGGTAGGAAAATCCGTCTCCTTAAACAATAAGTGAAATCTACCCGACTCAGACAGTGCAACGCAATCCCATATACTGAAGAGCGCTAGCAACCAAGCGAGGTCGCCTTAACAAAGGGGAGCAAAAGCAAGCCTGACACCCGATTTTATCGCAGTGAATTGGTCGAGAGTCGGATTTCTTTTACAGAACTCTCGTTTTGGCGACAAAATTGTATACCCACGGTGAAGTTTCGGTTGGAACCGACACCTTGATCTTCTAGGGTCATGCCATGCAAAACTAACGTGCTCTTTTTTTCCTTTGCGTTTTTCTTCACATGAACATCCGTTTTGTATTTCGACTATAATACACGATAGTCCGAAGAAATTATAAGGATATCGGGTTTTCATTCCCCCTTTTTGCGTTTTTCTAATTACTTACTGCTTTGAGTTTTTTTTTTTAATTTCTTGCAGTTAAGTTTTGCAGGTTTATTTGTAGGGCATAATGTGGTTAGAGAAGAACAAAGTCTCTAATCTTAAAAAAAATTCTCTACATGAAATATCCACATTCAACACCAAGACTTCAAAACTGATGTACAAGATAGAGGTACATGTAAACCAATGAAAAACACAAGCACGCTCGGATCACAGAGCTCTATTATCACCTCAAAGCCTTCTCTAGGTAAAATTGTTTTGACGCAAATACATCACCCTTAAACAAGAGTGCATGCTGCAAAGATCGCCCCGATTTGACAAAACTCTTTTAAATCTATAACACAAAGTAACTGATAGGTCTTGAGTTTTCATCACATTTAAGACGTTTATCAGATAACTCGAAACTAGATTGTTGATAGGTAATTCATCTCTTGTATATTCTTGACTTCTATTTTTTTCTTCTAAAATTGAGAACTGTATCTTAAGACTTTAGTAAACTGAATGAGGAATGACACGTCCTTTTTGAATATTATATAAGATGACAGCAGTCAGTAGTTAATCAGTAGTTTGTCAAATTTTAATTAATATTTTGCAATATAATTTTTGATACGTTTATTTTCTTGTGCTTAATGTTGCGCATACAAAAATTTGGATTTTTTTCCCCTGATGAAATGAACACAAAAAACCCAAACGACGTTTTTATTCTATTAGCAGGAAAAAGACCGATTTCATCAATTATTCCAATTAAATGAATTTCTGACAGTCGTCTGCTGAATCGTGTTTGGAATTGATTTTTTAGAGAAAAAAATCGTGTCATGATCATAAGGACGCTTTAACGACAATCACAAGCAGCTTGTCAGCGGATATGCAAATACAAGACCGGAAATAACCTCGGGTACAGACTCCGATTTATATTCAGGCGACAGCTGCTGAAAAAGCAGACTGTCATCGATTAATTCTAAGGACTACTGGCCTCTGTTCGACTTATCCGAATCGAGCAAATTTTCCATTGTCCGAATCCGATTTCCGGAGAGTAGCGCAAGCAAACATCTGTTGTTGGTTCCGACTTTTATCTTTGCCCTTATCTTGTCCCGGCTTTTATGAATGTCGATATCATATGTAGCATTAAATTATCCTTCCTAATTATGCCGTAATTATTGATTATTGGCCTTTGTTGGCGACAGTACATTAGCGCCCTGACGCCAGATGACAGATGTAATGCGACCAACAGCCAGGAAAAGATGGATTTTTTTATGACCGTGAGTCTATAGGGAGAGTCGTTTCAATAATTATGTCGCCATGCGTTAATGACATGTCGATAATTAGGCGGCAAGCTTAGATGAAGGAGACGGTGTATTTAATGAGAGAGGAAGAGGGAAAGAGTGAGCAATTTTTTTCTTTCGAAAGTTTAAGGAAATCTTTCCTTAATACAAACAAGAATTAAAATATGTAATTCTAAGAAAGAGATGAAATATTGTACGATACAACCCACTTACATTGTAACCTTTCGACAGACAACATACGACAAATATCATTGCGATAAGGCATTTTTGCATCCGGAAAACACTTCTTTGAAATAGAGATGCTATTATGCTGTCTCGTTTAGCAATAATACGAACAGAATTTCAGCGACATTGACACTTAGATTTTTTAAGTACTTTGTAATGTGTCTGTACACAATTCAGTTGTTATTTCCCTCTCCTTGTGTGATCTCAGCTTGTAAGAATTCTCTATAAAGAAACAGTAAAATGACACAAATATATAAAAACAGTCATCTTTCTTCCCTGAAGTGACTTTTATCGATACTGTAACTACACGTTATCATCTGTGTATCGAAGACCGACTTACTTCACTTTCACAGCTCTTCAGGGCTCGGAGATAAATAAAATGCATAAGATGGATGGAATGGACTTCTCCTATTTACATTTGAAAAGTGTATTAATTTCTTGATTTAACTTGTATCAGGGCCATGTAGTAAAGGCATCGTCTGTTTACAGTGTACAAGGATGCATGATCCTGACATAATATACCACGTAAAATTTGATTTTAAGTCCTCTTTTCAGTTAACAGTAGAGAATATAATGGGGACCGCTCTGCCGTGTTTGGTGATTGATGGTCTTTCTAGAGGGAGAACTGATAACTAAATAATACGCATTTTAAACTTATTGATCGACTACAAAACGATCAGGTTAACTGCTACAAAAATTATTAACTTTTCCCTGCATTTTATCATGTGGGTACAAACCACCTTAACCATTCGAGACTCACAGGTAGAATTTGCCACGTACTTGCATGAAGTTAAATACATGTATATCTGAGAGTGAGAGGTAGATAGAGAGATAATTTATTTGCTTTATCTGTAAATCTGAAATGGAGTCTGTTGCATTTGCTGAATGGGTGACGATTTCATTAGTGAATCTCTGTATTTTCTACATTAATTTTCCATTTTATTTTCATTTGAAATTCAAACACCCGTTTAATATATTTCATAAATCATTATCATAATTTTGGAATTCATCAACCTTTTATTTTTTATATAAAAAGGATTAGATATTATGGGTCGAAGGGCCATTTATGAAATTGATTGGTTTTTTTTTCTTTTGACCCACCGCCCTCTTCTTACATGTATGTGGCACTTTTTATAGCTGTGGGACAAAGACTCCCCAAGTAGCTAATGGCTGTGGACCTACAGAGATGGCTAAAAGCCGAAAAAACACATCTCCAGGTATTCATATACACGTCAAACAGACAAAAGACTTTATAGGGCTTTTTCGGAATGAAAAAATTCGTAATATATTCTTTCTCCCGTATATATTTTTTTAAGAGAAGAGTTTAATGTCATATGAAAATAACTTTTTGTAACAGGGGAGTGATTTATGGATGCCATATATGCAAAGACCTCGCCGTATATAGAGTCTATTCACTTGGTGCATCTCTGGCTCTATGGGAAGAAAAGGGACAAGATTAAGCACTTTTTATTTCAAAAAGAGACGTTTTTCTCTCAGCTAATCTGAGCTAGTCATTTATCTTTAGGATGTCATGCGGTTCTAATCTAGATCCCCTTGACTGATGTACGTATTTAATGCTGTGGGTTCTTATGGTGAAATGTCAAATCTTTATATGACATTAAAAACGACCACATAAATCACGTGATGGAACTTCAGGGATTATTAATGTATTACAGATAACTTATTTTTATTACAGTTAAATATGAGGTAACGATGCCAAATGTAATTCCTGTCTGGTCTTAATTAACGATTTATCTTTCCCAACATAATGAGACATCCAGAGAGAGAGAGAGATAGGAAGAAAGAGAGAGAGAGTGGGAGGGGGTGTAAGGATTAATGGTTAATTTCTTTTGCTACAGGTACATAAATCATCTCTTTCTCTCTCTCTCTCTCTCTCCACAGGTCAGAATGAGATTTCCAGAGAGAGAGAGAGAGAGAGAGAGAGAGAGAGAGAGAGAGAGAGAGAGAGAGACGGTAGTGGAGGGGGATACAAGGATAAGGATTAATGGTTCATTTTTTTCCTATATAGGTACATGGTTCTCTCTCTCTCTCTCTCTCTCTCTCTCTCTCTCTCTCTCTCTCTCATATGTACTTTCTCCTGATCCAAGGTAATGCTTTAGATAAAGCACGGTTGGGCTCTCGTTATAGAGTTTCAGGGATTACAGTGATATCAGTGCATCTCTTTTAAATGAGAATTAAAATGCCGCGATCCAAAAATTTAATAGACTTGCCTGAGAGCAAATCCATCTAGAGACGGGAAAAGAAGCCCCCCCTTTTTTTTTACACTGGAAATCTATTAGAGAAGGGCGTTAGGAATCTCAATGAATAAATCATTTCTTGTAGGATACTTAAATAATTTACATGCCTAGCATGTAACAATTCATATGAGATATGAGAAACTTTTTATGTACCTACTTTTGTTCTCATGAATAAAACATATAGGGGAATTCAGCCAATACACACTTGTGTAATGGGAACACTTTAGATCCAAAATATCACATAATTGTGTGTTCCAATTATACTTAGCTGAAAATTGTTATATTCTCAAGTAATTACATGTAACATAAGACTATAAATGTGAATATCACATTCTTCATTCAATGCTTTGATCTGCCTTTACGATACCTACCGTTTACATTGATCGCCAGAAAGCACTGCATGACAAACAAGGACAAGATTGACTCCGAGAAATACATTTTCTGTAGCATCCGAAACAGTGAATAAAATTCAATGTTTACATGAACACTATATTTATCCGGCACACATGGACATATCGATAAAGTACGACCGGAACATGAGGGCCTTTTTGGTGATCACTCCGCTACCATCCTTTAATGTTGACGATGTATCGCCTCTCTGTTCCTAGCTCTTGTCGCCATGTTACTTTAACATCCACTGGATTCTATTATGACATGATTTTTATCAGTGAAAAACACAAAAAGACACGCTGAAGAATTCTACATGGCCGTTTTACTTGACTGTCTATACAGTTTTTGGCTTGTCAGTCGATCTGCTTACGCGAGCAGTCGAGTGTAAACACAAATGATGAATGGCTATGCTAATCAAGTGGGCGGAGCATAGGTATTCATCAGGTTCATTAAAGTGTTTGTTTTCGTAAAGGATTTAAACAATCTTTAATGTGGGCGGGATCGAAGGTTTGTTTATGGGCGGGGTTAATTATGCCATGCCTGATTAATGCTAGCATGTAAAACGGCGCCTCGGAGTCCCGGCTTAGTAAAACACTAGGAAAACAAGGCCGTATGTTGATTTAATGTGTCTGTAGATAAACTGATTCTATGTCTACCTCTGTAATGGTATTAGTCCGTCCTAATAATTATTAAGAAAATAAAAACAATTTTCTTTTTGCCCTCGAATGAAAGTAGGCTGTTTAGAGAGAAATCACTACATAGACTGCTCGGCATGTTGACGGCCCTTTTGAAATTAATTCTGTTTGATATTTCGTTTTTTCTCTTGTAGATGAACAAGTGAAAATGTCTTCAGTGGTTTGTTTTTTGTACGCCTTCAAACAAACATACACTTGATTGGGTCCGCGGAGGCGCTTCGCTCTCGTTATCACGTTTAATTATCGTTGACATCTCGTAAAGTTTTTTTTTATCATAACGTCACCCTGCCTATTGAAATTAGCGTGCCATGCATCCTCGCCGATAATTCTTTTTAAAAAATGAATATAAAATTTAGATAATTTTCATCATTAAATTCCTTTTGTGGATTTTTTTTACCCAAAGCAAATTACCAGGACGATTATCTGTCTTTTAAAAAGGCAGTTGATGTCCCGATAAAGTCAGAATAGTAGATTATATATGTTATAGATTTATAGATTTTGTTTATTCATCTTCCTTTTTTTATCAATCAGAAAATTACCATTGATTTCGTAGACGTCTCCTCGACAAGCATAATAAATAAAATCGAATGGAAGCAATTAGTCGCGTTAAAAGAAAAAAAATAAAATGGTGCTTTAAAATGTCTTCATCATAAAAATGAAAGGAAATTAAAGTAATATTAATATAATCTCTGTCTTTCTATACACGACTGTCGTATGCCCATCTCTTGTTTGATTTCCACCATTTTATCACTTTACATTGTTGGTCGGTAAATTATGATTCTTGTTTACAAATGAACGCAGGCAATTATGATCGTCTGGAATGTGACTTTGGTAGATAGGGATCGGGATCGGACAAGTGTGATCAATGGCGATATAGCGATCACAAGTTATGATTGATCTATCGTCTTTTGTTAAATGGCCCGCCTGCTCTTCAGTCAACTGAAGAATTATATATACAACCGATCAACACCTTTGTTTTCCAAAGTGACTCTTTTTTCAACATATTATTCACACACGAACAATCAACTGCATTAATTTTACAATGTACTAAACATAAAACCATGTATTAATAAATGCAGTGATTTTTTTCGTTTAACAAACGGTATGTTTGAAGCACAAGATAAAGCAATATATTATTTTTTTAAAGATATAATACGTAGCCCTTTACATATTATTCACACAATAAGGCCATTAAGATTTTACAATGTACTAAACATAAAACCATGTATTGAAATTGATTAAATGCAGTTGAATTTTTTTAATTTTGTCAATTTCTCCAAACAATTCTGTACAGTAAGTTATATTGGATGTGTTTTAAGCATTTAATCCCTTGTTTTTGATAAAGCAATATATTTATTTTAAAGCAATTTTCAGATCAGATATAATACGTCATTTTTATGACTTTTAAGCCCGTGTGTTTTTTACATAGTTATGGATGCTAAACAGAGAAAAAACTTGGAATAACATCAAATTGCATTCACAATGGACAAATGTACAAAATACGAAATCATTCATTGATGAATACAGTGATTTTCAATTACATATTATGTTTGAATTATAAGATAAAGCAATATACGATATATATAAAACAATATTAAATTTAGTTTAAGTTTTTTTTTTATTCTAAAAAGTAGTGTTTATATGTACGTATGAATTGCCACTTAATTAAGTTCAGATTCGAAAGCTGTTTTTCCCCTCACAGATATAAATGACATGCAGTCAATGTTTTCATTCTGATCGGAGTAGTCCCAATATAATCTAGAACCGCATGTTAAGAGGCTTATTGCGATTAGATGAGATCATTAATGGGTAATTACACCGAAAGAATAAGTTTCCGATTCTGATTTAACATCACTGGATCCCTAGGAACTGAAGAGATCTTCCTATGCGAATATATTTAGATAAAAATTACAAATACATGTAAAATCTTGCTGTTCTTTTTCGAACGGAAACTGCCATCCAAGCAAGGAGGTAGATTGGGTGCAATTGCCCCCCCCCCCCTCTTTAAAGAAAGAAAAGAACTCACTTTTGAGACATAAGATATTCAATATTTGTCTTAATTAATTTTATAGGTTTACAAAAACTGCATTCATTTTCATTTAAATATGATAAATTTTCCAATTAAACATGAAATTTTTACATGCCAACGTTACATATTTTAGGTTATTTATTTTATTTTATATCTTCATATCTTTGTTGAAACTCTGTATAAGCAAATGAAGGAAAGCCCTTGCATTTTTTAAAGATTTAAAATATTTCTTTAACTTAACAAATTTATTATTGCACCTATTGTAAAGCATTTGCAAAAATGATCTATTTAGGTATGTGTGCCACATTATATTATTAATCCTTATTTTGAAACTTTGGAAACCTGTATAAATTCTCTGCATTTTTTAAAATATTTCCTTCTAGCTTTGATTGGTACAAAACATGAGAATTTGCGCAAAATGCACGTAATTTCCCCTTTCTTTCTATTTTGGGGGGTTGAAAATATTTCTTCCCAATTAGGTCTATTTTTAACGAACACCTATATTGACTTGATGCAATGTATCAACTGGATAATGTATTGTCTAGTAGTCTGATTCTTAACAATATTTGCTGAAATTTTGATGACCGGAATAAATATTTTATTTCTTATCAAAAATAAAAATTGTTAAATTTTAAAGTTGAAATCCTTCACGTCCTTGAATATGGTGGACTGCGGTAGTCAAGAAAGACAGCGAGGAGCTACAAACTTGGAAACCTCTTAACTCCAATCTAACAAGTACACACGGAGAAAGATTTAGATTGCTTTCAAAATGTTTTTTATTTCACATCATTTAAGTTTATATACACGAGCATAAATTTAGGTAAAACCCTAGATATAGTTGAAAATGTATCCAATTATTTTTTGATCGGCATATTTATCCAAACTCGGGCTCAGAATGCACAAACGCTGCTTTATCATGGGTTCTCTTCGTCTACATTTAAGGCTGTCAGTCCCTTTTTAAGGACCATTGTTTCCGCGCGCTGGTCATGACAATTCACTTAACAGCACTTTCCCCCCATTAAGAAGTTGAGAAAACAAATCATCGAGGCCCCATTGGTCATGTGTATTTAGTGAAGTTGTTTTCTCTCTCGGTTTTGGACACGAGGGAATTCTCGAATTCGGGGGATCACGGCGCGATGACCCTAAACAAACTTACCTGTCAGTGAGATGTCTAGGGAACCGGGAGGATTGGACCCTGGGGATAGTTTCCGGATTAGTCATAGGGCGGACCCGATAGTACGTGTTATATCTTATTCCGATCCGACCATATTACACTTAATTGAGGACTACTGCCCGTCTAAAAAAGAAAAAAAATTGATATGGACAATGAAAATTTAATGCATTTGTTCAGTCATTTTTGACATCGACTCTTTTCGTCCAAAATAGTAAATAGAAAATGTTCAAGTTATCGTAGGAATTTTTGAAAGTTAACATGATGAGCACATAATAGATAATACAATTTTTAACAGCGTACATAGTATATTTTTTAAGGTTCATTGATACTCTGATAAGAGAGATAACTCTTAAGGACATAAATGTCCATTATTCCTTTATAGATTTACCAAGTTGACATGTCGTTTTTGTCCAATTTTGCCCCGCAAACTATGCTATATTTGATTGATTTTTACTTATAAAATACATTTCTTTTGGGAAATTACGAAGATTCAAGCAACATTTTATATGAGCCAGAGGGTTTATGAACCCAAAAAATGACTAATTAAAACCAAAAAATTAAAATTGTATGACAAAGGTGAAGACTTTAGCTTTTCCATCGTCATCTTCACTTTATATTTATACCCCGGTAATAATATTCGAATATCACTTCAAATATAATGTTCATGTCTCTTTCACTTGATTCGAATTCCATACATAAGAGCATGCTCTGAGTAGTACAGATTTTTAACCAAAACAAGCTACTGACGATTAAGTTGGTGCCAAACGGATTTAAACAACCATTCAAATTTTTTTTTTCTTTTTTTTTGCGAATTCTTCAATCCTTATAAAGACCTTTCTTGCAATTATAGAAACAACTTGTCGTTGTTTCGTATATACTTTGACAACAAATTCCATATCATTTGTCCAGCCATTCTTTTTATGCTAAAAAGTATTCCTACGTTGTCAATACTTGGGTATCACGGCGGTTGTAACAAGGGATGCTTACTCTTCCTATTCACCTGATCCCAAGTTGATAAAACAGGAATATCAGCAGTCTCGTTAAATTAAAAGTAATCATTTTGTAATTTTTATTGTCGATACAATGACCTTGTCAGCAAATACAATTTATCATTAAGTTAAATGCTGATTGACGTTTTTCATACGTCAATCAGCGTATAATTGTTAGACCATTATTTATACACAAAATTGACGAATTTTCCGTTATTTCCTGATCATGACAAGGAGCACACAGCGGGTGTGACCTGTCAGTAGGATGCTCGATCCTCCATGGCACCTTATCCTACCTCTGATGTTATGGAGGCCCGTTTTGTTCTGCTCCAATTTTGTATCGTTTTATGGTCTTTTGAGCTTGAATACTGTTCGTTATCTCCATATATTTTACTCAGTAATTATACAAGATATCAGTTAGAAGGTATCATGACTGATGTGTTCAAACTTAAGTAATTGTTATTTTAGCAACTTTTGACTTCTTATTACC